AGTGTATTATTTGTTGAAAAATAAAAAAAAATAAACAAATAAAAAAATTAAACCAAAAAATTGTTAATAGTAGTAGTAACAGAGAATACTTACAATAATTCCTTATAGTAACTTTCTAAAATTAATATGTTTTCAAAAAATGATATTATTAAACTGCAGCTTTCTCAACAGCAATATTTTCTAAATGTTATATTTAATATTACCATATTATGCTTAATCTACATAAAAGAAAATAAAAATGGAGAAATTAAATAATATGTCTGTTATGGAGCTAATGAAAATCACAGCCAAGATTACATTATACTATATGCGTTAATTTTTCACTCTAAATTCTGAAGCTAGACTCTATTAGTATGTTATAAACAATATCATGTTGATAATCACTTTTTTCATATGACCATTATAGTTATAATAATACTTCATTAGAAGAAAATTTGAGTGCAACAATTCCTTAAAAACATGTACACCCACGCGCGCGCGCGCGCACACACACACACACACACACAGTTGTCTTTGAATTTTAAAACATTAAGGAAAATATAGATTTACATTTATTAAAATACCTTTACCTTTGTCTCTGCTACAGTCCAAGTGCTTTCTTCTTCAAATTCTCTCTAAAGTGTAGGCCCCTCCAATTCTTTGGGAAATTGCTTCAAATAACTACCACAGTGGTTAAATATAACAGATAAAATTTAGAATGGACAATAATCATTTCTTTTTTTCACTTGAAAGTTTTCTTACACAGGATTAATTTCTTAGCACTTTACAACCCTATTTCTTCAACTCAAATGCAGAAATATTAATAATCACCTTAGAAGATTTCACAAGATTTGAGAGAAGGAGTATATATAAAAACATCCACCACAATACTGTGAAATCATACTTTCACGTAACTTTAGGAGCAAGTATTTTTGTAAGAGATAGGGAGAACAGGTAGTGGAGTAATAATAAACAGAAATAGAAAACCATGTAAGAAATCTTAAAATAATGATGTCTAGTATTACTCTGAAAGATATCAGAGGAAGCTGTATTATCCACAGCATCTGATCCAAGGATGTCTTCCAGGTCACCGCACATATTTGTAGATGGACTAAACAGCTGCTGATTTCTGCTTTGTAATATTCTTGTTTGTATTTGTAGGGAGAACCTTTAGATTTCATGTAATTCTTATGCTTAGTATTATTATAGAGATGTTTCATTGCAAAATTACAGAGTCCCGCATCAAGATATTTATGTAAAAAAAACCCAAACCATTAAGTCTCAGTAAGTTTCCAATTGCTAAATGAGGTTATTATAATTGGCTCTGTTGCATGTTGAGATGAGGTACTATCACTACATTTAGTGTTGAAATGTAAGGATTATTACATATGAAAAATAAAAATCTTGTATTAGAGTCAACATTGTCAAAAAACTTACCTTAGCTGTCTGAGTAATTTGATGATCCTAATGACATCTGGTGCCACTAAGAAACAATTCCAACACAGGTTGACTTTCTTTAGGAATTAGTTTCACCATGGAAGATATGTCACAAGTGGTGGAGATCCTGTTATGAAAGTTCAATATTAAACTAACAGTTAAGAAAATTTATATACATTGAGCATGCTGAGTTTTTTGTATGTCATACTTGAATGCTACCAAAATAAAGCAGTCTGTAAAGAGAATGTTCTTGCTACTGTAAATCTTTCAACAAAGCTCAACTCTATTTTTTCACAATAACCTCAAGTTCTGTATTAAAGTAGGTTTATTTGAAAAATGGTGAAGAATTAAGTCTCACACAGAGCTCTCGTCCGATAGCACAACAAGTAGAAATGGACAGAGGTGTAAATGAGTCTCTGTTCCCATGATAGACCTTAGACATTCAAAGGACAGCTAGCACAGTTTCCTTTGTAATTCATTGTTATTTAAAGAAAATGCTATCAATGTTCAGGGACCTTGTGCTTTTTCTGTTGCTTTCTCTCCCAGGAATTAATTACCTCTTTAAAAAATTGAGTTTGTCTTAAACAAAGGTATTCTGCAGAGACATGTTTTGAAAATAGCATAATCTTGAGTGGGGAGTTGGATTCACTACACATAGAACTGAAGGCTTTCTCTAACTGAATCTTTGTTGTTAAGAAAGCTGATGCTATACTAACATGTTGAGTATGATAAATACATCTAATGGTCTATCCATGATACAGTTTGTGTGTTGATTAACATTATATTTTGCTGAGTTTACACACCTATAATATTCAACAACGGAACTTAAAAAAAATTGGGGTATAACTATGAATGTCCATTTTGTATCTGTGTATTCAAAGTGGTTGGGATAGATATATAGTTGCATTCTCTTAATGAATA